CACAGGACAGAGCAGAGTTTAGGGCTGTTGTACATAGGGTCGCTATGAGTCGCAAGCGACTCGACGGCACATAACAACAACAACAACAACAACAATACTCTAGGGCAGTCAGATCATTCCAGAAGTTATGATCCTGAAAGTAGCTCAAAGTGAGTAAATGTGGCTCACCAGTGTTCCCTCGTTAGTATAAGTCACCTAAGATAGATCTAGAATGGCCCAAGAGTGGCTTTGAAAAGGCACCACAATCAGCAGTTAAAAAACAATGTATACAAAATTTGTAAGAAAACCAATATAAATAAAACTTTATTTAAAAAAAAGACACCACAAAATAAAAAACACCAAACCCCAGAGAGATTCCAGCACAATAGTCTCATTATTCAAGGCCTACAGAGACAGATGTTCTACCACATTCCTCACTGCTGGTGTGCTTGTGAATGTGTTTACTAGTAGAACATTTAAATTTTGCTTTTCTACAATTGATTTTTTTAGTAAGGCAACATTGAGATACCAAACATTATCCATGTAAGAAAGAAGAGATATACATGTATGAAACTTTTACTTTAGTCTACTAACTCCTTTCTGGCCGATCTACACACTGACCACAGGAAATGAGCTGCAAGCATGTTCTGATTGCATTCCAGATTCTGACAAACTACTCTGAGTTATCTGGGCCACCAATAACAAGAAGAAAGAAAACGGAAACTGTAATTCAGGACTTCACAAAAACAAAAACAAAAAACATGCTCTCTGCAAGTAGTGATAAAGGTCAGGAAAGCGGGAGTCTGGGAAGCCATCAAGCAGAGAAAGTCTCTGAGATGTAAAAGCTGAACAAATAGTCTGGGGAGCAAAAACTCTGAGCATCACAAAACTAGGCCTCCATCAGGGAGACTATAATTAATTGGCTTAAAGTGACAGAGGATAGTTTTTGAGGGTCCTGCCAGGTTTTATTGGTATTTGTTCATCTATTTATTTTTAATACTGGCAGCTACTGGAAATGGAAGTAGATTGAGAAGATGATGCAAATAATCTGGTTCAGGAATCAGAGGAGGGTGTACACATACACACAGTCAGAGTCCTATCTAGCAAGCTGGTGACTGGACAGTTATTACATAATGAAATGCTTTCCTTGTGGCTGAAGAATAGCCTCGGTCCTTCCCTGAGTGATTCCTGCCATCCCAACCTCCCACGTAGCTTCCCTACTCATGTACTTACATTCCAATAAGTCAAAGGTTAAAGAAGGAGCTCTGGTGGCTTTATGGTAAGGAGTTGTACTGCCAACCAAACGGCACAAGCTTTGAATTCACCAGCTGCTCTGTGGGATAAAGATGGGCAATCTCCTCCTGTGTGATTAACTTACTTGGAAAATCCACTGAAGGGTGATCTATGAGTTCTGACTCAACAACATCGACAAAGGGATAGTGTTCCTCTAGAATCTGCCCTCAAGACTAACATATGGACTGGTCACTGGCTTATACCATTGAACAAGCAAGAACCCCTGCTATCCAGTCTGCTCTGACTCATGGAGTCATGGAGACTTTTCATTCAATTTCTTACACTGCAAATCTTTACAGGAGGGAATTGTTCATCCAGTTATGGTGTGACTATAGGATTCACAGCTCCAGCCTATCAGGTAACAGCCCAACGTGTATAAAACTGTTCCACTATGGCTCCTTACACCATGCTGGTTGTTAATTTTATTTTAAAATCTTATACCAGTATGTGTGTGTGTGTGTGTGTGTGTGTTGCTGTTGTTGATTGCCGTTAAGTCAAGCAAAGCTCATGGCAATCCTATGAACAAAAGGCTTGAAGGCTTTCTATATAACTATCATCGTTTATCAAAGTTCATAGTTTCCAGAGGCATGTTGTTTAGGAAGTTGATGCTATTCCTCCTTCCAAACCTGTCTTAAACTGGGAACTCCACCAAACACTGTTCACCATGAGTAATCATTATGCCAATTGAAACCCCAATGGCACAAAGTTCAACATCCCAGAAACCCCAGGTTACCTCAGTACAGCATATTGACAGAAGAGTACTGTACCACTTAGAAGAATGTTTCTCCAAAATATAATAACAATCGACTATTAAATATAAAGGCCCTCCCCAAAGTCTTGTTAACTCTAAACAAGAGGCTTAGATAAAAAAAAAACCAACTCCAATAATATAGTATGTTGAGTTACCTGCAACATATAGCGACCCTATGTACAGCAGCTCTAAACCCTTCCCTGTCCTGAGCCAGTCTCACTGATTCCAACACACCAACCCCCATAGCCGTAGTTACTGTATCAAACCATTTCATCCAACGTCTTCCTCTCCTGTGCTGTCCCTAGAGATTGAAATATCTACCCTGAGTGATGAGAAGGGATACAATTTGCTAAAATTACCTTAGTAAAAATTTGCTAAAGTTACCTTACACTATGCTTTTTCACTAATATTAGCATTCTTATGTGTGTGTGTGTATATATATATGCATTTATATGTCTTTATGCTTATATAAATGTATCTCATGTAACATCACTTGAAAATTATTAATTGTCTGCTCAAGATTTACATGCATCAGATGCATCAGAATTGCCTGGACCACTTGTCACATACTCACCAGATCCATTGCATCTCTGGGAATGGCGCCAGGATATGTATGCTCTGTAACTCCTTTTCCAGATGATTCGAAAGCATTGTGTCAAGTACAGTCTTGATTTTCTGTCAAAGAGCAAGCCTCTCTGTCCTGTCTTAAATCTAAATGCCAAGTTCCTGGAACTTGGAGGTTCATGAGATTATAACTTTAGTATTTACCACAGTTCCTGGGACCCAAACACCTCTCTCTATCTACCTATCTTGCTCTCGGACGCATACCAAGTGATTGAAAATTACAATGGCTTGAATCAGGTGCACATTAGTCTTCACAATCAATAAGGATGACAGAAGAAAAATCGATGCCTTTGAGTTGTGCTATTGGAGAAGAGTACTGAACAGCTCATAGAATGCTAGAAGGTATGTCTTGGAGAAGGTACAGTCAGAATGTTCCTTAAAGACAAAAATAGTGAAACTCATATATTTTGGACATGTTGCTGAAGGAGGTTATTTCATGCAAAGTGATAGCATGCTAGGAAAGGTGGAAGGTCAACAAAAGAGAGGAAGACTCTCAATGAGATGGACTGATGCAGTGACTGCTGCAATGGGCTCCATTGTGTCAGAAATAATGAGGATGACATGGGATAGGACAGGGTTCAGATCGGTTGTTCGTGGGGTTGTTATGAGTCATATCAACTTGAAGGCATAAAACAATATCTATCTATCCAATTGTATCTCAAAACTAAGAAATAAAACCTTTTAACTAAGATAAAAACAAAAAGTCAAGATAAAATTAAACAATAAAAGCACCAACTGGAATAAAGAACATAAAAGTTGACTGACCTTGGACGAGTAAATGAAGTTAGAAAAAGAAAAAGATGTTGAAACTATAAGTAGAAAACAACTAAAAAGGTAAAACAGAGGATTAAGGGACGAACCTCTTAACAGGAGAAACAACCTCTTAATGGGAAAACAACTAAGATTTGGGAAAGATCATGAAGGGGCCAGCTCTGCTTGGACTTGACAATGGGCAAGAGAGGCAATCTGAGCACAAGGAACTCAAGGCGGCTCCTAAGAGGAAGTGGTTGAAAGGATAACTGGGCTTTTATATGCATCCAGGCTTGTTTTGAAGTATTCTGCTGGGAAGCTGGGATTAATGAGATCACAGAGTATTATAATTTGATTCCAGTTAAAGCGTCTTTATACACTGGGCTTAATGAAGAATGGCTAATTAACATCTTTTGAGCATAAGGGAAAAAAGGCATATACATCACAATTGTCTTTTCAAGGCAAAAATACACACAAAATCAAAATCTGGATTAATGAAACCAGAGTGCTTATTTAGGCTGCAGTATATCAACCCTGGTATTTTCCCTTAGCTACAGATAACTTTCTCATCATCTATGATTCATGCATGGCATATGGGCAAGATTAATTGCATTCTTACTGGGATCTGGGCAGAATCCCCACTTCTCATCTTGTTCATAGCGGCTTGTCGTGGCACACCATAGTAAGTCGTCGTCCCGACCTGCCCGGGTGCACTCATGATACCATCTCCGGTTATAGTGAAATGGAAACATACATGGCATCCCACGGGCATTTCCTTTGATTGTGTACAAATCTAGGAGAAAGAATATTACCAAGCTGAGTAAATATTATGCAAAGTGTTCAATGGTTTAGTGCTTTTTGTAAAAGAGTTTTTGTGAAAATATACATGACAAAGTGTATATGATTTCACCAAGTTCTGTAACACTCTTTACATTCTTTAAGTTATGAACCATCTTCAGTATCTTTTTCCAAATTTTTCCACTACCCTTAATGTAAAGTAATTGCTCCTGAGCTTTTTTTTTAATTAATTAATTTTAATGAAAGTTTACAGAGACTTAGGGTTTCCAGTCATTTATTGTTGCACTTTTCTCCTTGCCCACTCCTTCCCCACAATTCACTCTTCTCCTTGAAAAAAACCCCTTTCATTGTTATGCAATCCCTCTCCCCAAGTCCACTCCACCATACAGTCTTCACTCTAGAGTTCTGTAATGATAAGAATACCCATTCATATGTCCCTTTTAAACAGTTCTCTCCCTCATCTGTTTCAATGCAATATATATCATTCCTCCCCTCCTTTTCTGCCCCTGAGCTTCTTAGCTAAACTTTTGAAAGGCTACTGTCTGTTTGATCCTACATAGATCAATCTTGAGACAGAGGATTCTCTGCACTTTTTAATTAACTTAACATCTACTATTAAAAACATCTTATGATTCCAAGTTGAATGCTCTGGGACCTCACTGTATACTGTATATAAAATATTAGGCTGTGTGTTGGGTTCAGAGGAACACTGAAAAACTGTTTGAATCTACATTTAATCTGTACTCTGCTATGTTATTTTGTTCATTGCCATTCGACTGGAACTACTGATCCTCCAGTGGGTTTTCGGAGACTGTAAATTGCACAGGAGGAGATTGTCCGTATTTCTCCCTTGTAGAAGCCCTGGCTATGGGTTGGCAGCACAACTTTCTACCCACTAGACTACCAGAGTTCCCATACCCTGCTATAGTAATACACATATATGTGAATGGATAGAAGGGACATTTTATGTGTCCTGAAATACCTGTTGTCCCTAAGTGGTTATATCCTTAAACACTGTGCTGGTGATAAGAAAATTGTGAGAAATTGCCTCTGCCAATATGGGAGAGTGGGATGAATATTCTTTTATCCTTGGATCTACTGATTTAACTAAGAATGATCCTGATGCTTCTCACCATAGATAGCTCCAGTTGGGTTATAAAAAAAATTTGTTTCTTACTTAAGACCAAAGATGATCAATTATTCCAATGCTCTGAGAAAGCCAAGAAGCCTTCAAAAAGCTGTTCTGATTTGTTCCTGGCCTCTCAGCAATGCCCACACACCATCTGGCAGGCAAAAGGTACATAAAACTGTTATTTGTTAAATGACCAAATGCTGGGCTCTGAGGACAAAAATTAGGTAGTTGTGAAGGAGGACTACCAAGGTATGAAGATAGCTGGACCATCATTGCTTTTCTGCACGGCTGTTCCAGTTGGATACTCCCACTTTGTTTACTCCTCATCTAGCTTCTATTCTCTACATGGTACCCTGAGTCTTTAAAAAATAAAATCTTATCATACTACTTCTCATTTCATCAATACTTAAATCATTTACTCACCCTTATGCGTATATTCACAAATGTCTTTACCATCTGACATATAGGAAATCCACTTATGATAAAGATATTTCCATGAGGCCACAACAGTGGTATTGTGCTTCACCTGGACCATGTACTGCAGCGGGCCCATGATCATCTTCCTGTTACAGCGCCACCTCAAGGAGATGTGGGTAGAATCACATTCATATATATTCAATGGCTGCTCAGGACTAGATAAGTTGAGACCCAGGCAACCACTGCCTCCTATGTTAAAGAGGTGCTGCTTTGAAACCCATTTCCACAGCATATTTTTGTTAGGTTGTTTGCAGTTCTCCAGAGTAAGTCCAGATTTTCCTGCTTGAATGCATGTCTTGAGACTCTCACTTTGGATAACAAAAATTCCTTTATCTAAAATAGGGAGACAAAGATGCAGCATTAAATTTTTATACATAATTAAGTAATGTCACAATATGTCTAAATGGTGATATCTCACTGTCCCTAAAAGCCAGAAACATGGTGGTTGGAATCAAGACCCACTGAAAGAAAAAACTTTAATCACACAAAGTTTTAGAAAGAAAAGAAAAAAAAAAAACAAAAACACAGAGTGCTGCTTTTGGTACTGATGTTGTTATTGTTGTTGTTATATGCCATCAAGTCACTTGTGACTCATAGCGACCCTACGTACAAGAGCTCTAAGCACCATTCTATCCTGTGCCAACCTAGCCATCTCTAACGCACTCATTTCCCCCACTCCAGCCACAGTCAATCCATCTCATCGAAGGTCTTCTTCTCCTTCACCGCCCCTCCACTCTGCCAAACATGATGTCCGTCTCCAAGGACGAGTCCTTCCTTGCAACATGCCCAAAGTATGTCAGACAAAGCTTCAGAATCCTTGATTCCAAAGAGTATTCTGGCTTCACCCTCTCCAGGACAAACCTGTTCGTTCTCCGAGTAGTCCATGGTATATTCAACACCTCTCCAGCACCACAGCTCAAAGACATCAATTCTCCTTCTATCATCCCTATTCACTGTCCAATTCTCTGATGTATAGCATGTAATTGCGAAGACTATAGCACTGATCAGGCACACCTTCTCAAGCCTGATGTCGTTGCCCTTCAGTACTCTTGAGAGGTCCCTCACAGATGACTTTCCCAGTGCAATTTGTCTCTTGATTTCATGGCTGCTGTTACCAAGAGTGTTGACTGTGGAGC